CTAAAAATGGACGAAAAGTTAATGCTATATATAGCCTTACTTTTTGCTGGGGTTTTTTGGCCATTCATGAAAAATGCAAAAAGGCGCTAAAAATGGCCGAAAAGTTAATGCTATAGCCTTACTTTTTTTGCTGGTTTTTTGCCCACTTATTAAAAATGGAAAAAGTCGCTAGAAATGTATTGCCTTACTTTTTTGCTGTTTTTTGCCCATTTATGAAAAATGCAAAAAGGCGCTAAAAATGGACGAAAAGTAATGCTATAGTCTTACTTTTTTGGTGTTTTTTGGCCACTTATGAAAAATAGAGAAAGTCGCTAAAAATGGATGAAAAGTTAATGCTATAGCCTTACTTTTTTTCTGGTTTTGGCCACTTATGAAAAATGGAAAAAGTCGCTAAAAATGGATGAAAAGTTAAGGCAATAGCCTTACTTTTTTCTCTTTAGCCTAACCAGAGCCTTCACCGCACACATGCAAACCAGAGTCATGGGTACAAATTCAATACTGAAATACAGGTACTGCCTGATAGCAGGATAACCATTACCTGATAACAGGGTAACTACGGCCTGATAGCAGGCTAACTATTGCCTGATAGCAGGCTAACTACTGCCCAATAGCAGGCTAACAATGAAAATCTGTACCTTAAGTTAGACCTCACTTTAACCATAGTGCAGCTTCATTATCGAGGTACATCGATGTCTGTGGGTAACCGTTGAGATAGAGGTACATATGTCTGAACATGTTCATGGTAATAAATATCCTTAGTAATCCATAAATGTTTATTATAACCATTAAAGTACATAATATACCAAAAGTATCCACAACCACCACTAAGCTTCACTGTTAAAATTTTGGTGAAATTTCTTCTCAAAAATAAAGTGAAATTATATTAAAGATGCCACATATGAAATTAGTTTGGTGCATTTGGGCGTCCCCATGGTAGCCCCGGTTTAGAACTCGACCAGCATCCATGGCCCCACTTTTGGATACAACTGTCATGACCAGCAAGAATCTAAATTGGAGGTAATAAGAAGTATTTAATTACATGGCTTCAACCGAGAATTATCACAGTAATAAAATACTCATTTTCATTATATGCAGTACCGATAGTCCTGTATTTGCCTGCAAATTAATATAAATATTCTTAGGGAAACCGGATCCAACCTGAACTGGAAAAAAGTTCCGGCCGGAACTAATTTATTAAGCCATAAATAGTCATATGTTACTTTGTCCGCTACATACACTTCAAGTCATAAAGGAGAGAGCTCGCAAATATTAGAATAAAAATATTGACAAGCGTTAAACGTCATAATGAAGTGTTAGTGTACATTTCCTTTGCGTAGTCCAAATTTCTTCCTACTGTGACCTTTTGTCAGACACAAAAACGTTTGATATTCTATCTCTCTGAAATGACAGAGTTCCGGGTTCCGGCCATGCTTTTTTTACTAGTTCCAGCCGGAACCGGAACTCTAAAAAATCAGGGTTCCAGCCGGAACCGAGTTCGGTTCCGTGCACCCCTAAATATTCTAAGAAGTAGCTTATGTATATCAACTGTCATCCAATTACGTACAAAATTTTTTGCTTGTGTTGATAATTTTTTTAAAATCATCCCTTGCTCGAATTTTTTCAATTCAAAAAAATTTTCCCTCACATATTCTTGTTAATACATGCGTAAAACCTTTTTTTGCACCCATATCTTCAATATTTAGGTTTACAATTGGGGCACCCTTACACAACTTATAATTTTCACTATTGAAAAGTCTATGCACAAATTTTTTTTTTAAACTTTTTTCGTGCTA